GCTGCAGGCTCCAGGCCTGCACTCAGATGTCTGGTGCTGTCCTGCCCTCCCGTGGGCCGCCAGGCGGGGGCTGCGCTGACTGTTCTCTGGTGACCAAAAGCAGTCTCTGCAGAGCCTGGGGAGGGCTCAGCACACCCAGCCGGCAGCTCGCTGCTCATACTGTGAATCTGCATGTTCTCTGGGCACCTGCAATGGCCCGTGGTGTACGTGGTAGCTGTGACTCTGCAGAGGTTTCTCTGCAATCACCCCTGTATCTGTATCCTATAAATACACTGATCATGCTGCTGTCCAAGCATACCCTGCACAGCCTGCTCTACAACACTTGCCTGGAGGGGACCCACAGGGCTCTTTCCTCAGAGTTAGGCAGAGCTTTGCCTCCCTAAGCAATCTCTTCCCTATTGCTCTCAATTTAAGTGCTGCACTAAGGCTACATGTCAAGCACGTGGCCCCCAGAGTCACTGGGAAAGGACAGTGGCACTGAAGGGTTGATCATTCAGTGGGCAACAGTGAGCAGCCCCCAGCAGCAGCCTGCTCCTGAAGCTCTTGTCCAGAGTTTCCCAGTTCCTTTTGCCCTCCACAGGGATTTCAGTTTCTGAGGGGTTACAATGCATTCACAGCAATTCCCGATCAATAGCATATTCCAGGCTGCAGAGAGAGTCCTGCAGAGCCAGCCCCTTCCCAGAGCCCAGAAATACACCCAGCCCCAGGGCTGAGCCTTGCTTGCACCTCCTCCAGCAAGAGGCCCTGGCTCTGCCAACCACGGCCACAGCTCCCTGTGCTCCAGGCAGGCTGGCTTTCCTCCCCTGCCACCACTGGCAGCCTGTTTTTCACAGAGGGCTGCTGGTCCTTGGCAGGAGCAGACCACAAGGAGTCTCTGTAATGAGCTGGGGCCGAGACTGAGCCAGAAAATCATAGAACACACTTCAGCAGACACCACAGCCAGGCAGAGAGTGAGGGCTGTAGACTGAGCTCATGTAATCAGCTTCAACAGTGCTCCTGGCACATGGGTAAAGGGATTGGGCCCAGGTGAGGCTCTTTGTGGTCATTGAGGTCTAAGTGCACTCAGGCCCTGGCAAACACTAATTAAGTCATATTAAGGCCAGGCAGTGTTTAAGTGTGCTCTTCTCCTGGGTGGAGTGTGCACAGGAGCAGCCTGATGGCTGCTGGTATGAGCACCCTGTCACTGTCACTTTTACAGGGGCTGAAATGGAAGTGCTTGACATGACAAGGTTCCCCTGGAGATGAACCCCGACCCACTGACAGGGTGAAACAGTGAAGCTTCCAGGTCTGACCAAAAAATAATCCCCTGGGTTGCACTGCAGGCCTGGCAGCCAGCTGGGCCAGTCTGGCAATTGCACAGCAGCACCAGGACACTCCAGCCAGCCCTCCTGCCCCAGAGGACCAGCCCTGTGGTGGCTGTGGGAGCACAGGCAGGTGGCACACTGTGGGTGGGCAGGGCTTGTTGTGCATCTGTGGTTCCCACACACCTGTGTGCCAAAAAGTGGCTCTCGACTCACTTGCACAACACTCCATGAGACCCTGGTAGCACCCACCATCACCCCTGCACAGCCCTGCTGGGTCACAGGCTGCCTGGCACCCTCTCAGCTCTTCTGTGCTTCTCTGCAGCTCCACCAGAGAGACCTTTGCTCTCCTGTGCTTGTCACCTCCAAGCCTGGGTGCAGCCATGATAGGACAGAGGAGGTTCTGCTCCACTTGTCCCACGGCATTTCTGCCCGCTGTGGCAGCCCAGGGCAGACACCGTACAGCAGGCACTGCTGCACACAATCTGCATCCTGGGGGCTTGCCAGGTATGGGGGACTGTGAATTTCCACAGACATCAACCATCCAAATACCAACCTCAACCAAAATGTCATGGCATGCCCCTGCTGCCCGGCAGCACAGTTTGTGTGTACTGAGTCCAGCTACAAGAGGGTAAAGTCCAAGGCTGTGCAGCCTCCTGCAGGGAGAAGGGCAAATTCAGAGGCAGCCTGCACAGAGGTTTCATAGCAACAGCAGAGCGGTGGAGAGCTCAGAGAGGTCCCCTGTACCTGTTGCCCTCGAGCAGTCTGTGCAGAGCTTGCAAGAGCCAGAAGCCAGCTGACAGCAGAGCAGGAAGAGTAGCACTGCCTGTGCTGCCAGCTCTCCATTCCCGTGTTGATCCCTTGCTTGGTAAGATGCTTTTGATGCTTTTTGACAGGCAGGCACAGAGTGTGGGTTGGCAGCTCAGCGTCTCTGCCTCGGGCAGAGATCAGCCCTTGCTGACAGCAAGGGACAGAAAGAGCTTTATTAAGCTTACTGCAAACATACTATGAGTTTATAAGGTTAAAACCACTTCAGCTGCAGAGCTTGGCCCCTCTGCCTTGCTCAGCTCTACAGCAAAGTTCTCTGCATATGGAAGAGCAAATTTCCCCCGCAGCCTCAGGGGCTGTCTGGCTGTGAGTGTGCCAGGAGCCAGCAGCAAGTTTGGATCCACATGGTCTGTGAGGGACAGCCTTTTCCTGGCTGGTCCCAGCACCCTCATACCAGGCACACCCTAGCAGCGTGGTGCTCCTCTCACCGGGGTCCCACTGGCACCAAGGACTCTGCTAGCCCAGGGGTGAGCCGTGGCTATGGGGACACTGTGCCCGCACACCCAGCCCAGCGGCCCAGCGGGGATGTGGGCGATCCAGTGCCGGCTGCCCCCGGAGCAGCCAGAGCGGTGCGTCACCCCGGGTACCACAACAAGCGGGCGTGGGCTGATCCCGATAATCTTAGGGTCAAAATCCAGGACAGCGCTTGTTTACCAAGCACGCAACCACAAGGATGGGCTCCGTGTCCCCGCGCAGCACATGCCCTGGGACGGCTCCTGCGGCCGC